CACAATGCTCCTGAAGTTTTCGGAACATTCCTGAAATGCACTTAGGAATATTCCATAGTTCCACGGAATTCCTTAAAAGCTCTTGTAATTTTCATGAAGTTAATGGGGCTGTTTAGAGTTCTCTGATCATCCTCCAAGCACTCGGAACTTCCCTGATTATAATGAGGCTACCTGAATATCTATAACCATCTTTGAAGGTATCTGGACTTTCTTGAAGATTACGAAATGTCTTAGGTGCTCTTACAATTTTCTTGAATTTATTGTATCATTATCTCTGATCTTCTCGATTTTTTAAATTTTAATTCTTGGCACTGTCAATAAAAAGCACGGAATTTCCCATAAAATGTTCTCACAATGTTCTACTGTTCATGTAACTTCCCTTACGTTTCCTAAATTTGTGGAAAATTGCCTGAGTTTCTCGGAAATCCTTTAAAATATCAGCATTTCCTTGAAATGAATTGATCTGTCCTGATGTTCACGTAGCTTCCCTAAAGTTCTCTCAATTCTCCGAAACAAATTTAAGTTTCTTGAAAACCATTAAATTTCCCTGAAGTTTGAACTAGTGAAGTTTCCAAAATATTTCTGATGTTTTCGTAAGTTCACTGGAGTTCGCTGGACTTTCCTGAAACTTTCGGGTTTTGGAATTTGAACAGAAGTTAACGGAACTATCTTTAATTTATCGGAACTTACTCAAAAGTCTAAACTGTTCTGAAGTTTCAGAACTTCTTAAAAGTTCCTGCAGCTGGTGTGAATCCGTAATAAACATCTGGAAACATCCCTGAAGTTCAGGGGAGGTTCAAAAAACTGGTGGGAGAAGACGGAAGCGATGGCTGAAGAAGCTTCCAAGGGAAGTTGAAATAAGTTTTCAGGAGGAATTGAAAATAAGGTTTTAATGTGTGGAAGAAAATTCAGGAAGTAAAGAATGAACAAAAACTTTAGGAAGCTAAATAATGTTTAAAAAGTATTTCGCGATTCTCTAAGAATGACCAGAAAGAGCCATCGACAGTTTCTCGATTCATGGGTAGTCAAAAACGGTGAATAAATGGAAACATTAGTCAAAATAGTATCTAGCATATGACATTTTCAAAGTTATTTTTTTTTTTAAGAATTTTGAAGGCTCCAAAATTTTAAGTTATTCTAAAAGATACAAATCTCTCACAGTAATTTTCTCTGAAATTCAAGCACGGGTAGGCAATAATAATTTTGATCATTTAAAAAATCGGTATAAATCTGTATACAATTTAAAAAATCGGTATTCTGAGGAATCTTATCTGTATATCGGTATCCAGTTCGGAAATCGGTATAAATACCGATAAATCGGTATATCTAGCAACGCTGTCGCCAATATCGTAGCTGTTTGTTGTTCTCCCACAATTGTGACGTTAAACTCGTCATTGTTTGCACGGCCAATGTGAACGACCCAAATTTGTGCTTGGTTCACTCATAATCGCCAAAAGTGCAGGAACTCAGCGATGAGTAAATTTGCCTCACGTTTTTTTTTCAGGATTGTCCAGGAAACAAATCCCGAATATGAGAAAAGTAAAGATTGGATTCACCCAGTCTATTAGTACTAGTGAAGAGCGCTACTTCGTCGTAATCGCCCATTTCCATTCTATCGATCAGAAAAGATCAATACTATCTATGATTTCACCGTGCACAAATCAATAATAGGTTTGTTCCGATGCCTTAGTTCATTAGCTACAACATATATTCTATTAAGTTCTATTACTAGCATAGTTAACGATGCGTTTTAAAACCCATGCATGACACCATTACCGAACGTGGAAAGGATAGAAAACCATGTTTTCTAAATGCGTTCATCAAAATAAGTAACCAATACTAACTGATAAACGACGAAACAAATTCAAGTAGAGCTTAGCCTTAAATTCAACTGAGTTTTCTCTTAACCCAATCCCATTACTCCATGGACTACATGGGTCATAAACCCTGGGCGATCAACAACGGCGGTAGCAAAAGACCACCGTCCCAAGGTGAGTCAACTATAAAGCAAATTAATTCAATTTTCAACCGAGCATTAATTAACTAGGACAACTCTCATTTTTTTGTGCCATTTCATGATCGCATCCGCCGCAGCCTACTAGTCCTTGGGCTGCGGAGACTAAATAAGTCCGCTCACTAGGATGAACGTTTCCATTTTCGTTATTCTGAACAATACTCGATCCATTCACAAAAAAAAAAACAACCGAACCATGTGACACTTGTCCGTTGATGTTGATGTCCTACTGAGGGCAACAACAACGTGCTGGCTGGCTCGATCGCGCAGCCACCAAGCCTAATGTTAATATTACATAAAGTTCGACCCGATTCGGTCCAGTTTCGTATTGTGTTCGACCAAACTTCCGCGGTCGGTTGAAAAAAAAGAAGCCGGTTCGAAGAGAAGGTAAAAAGCGTGAAAAGATTTCCCCTCCCTGCACCCTTCATCTACACGGTCAATGAGATCAACCTAAATTTGAGTTCAGTTTACTCATAATCGCAAAAAGTGTACGATCTCAGCGATGAGTAAATTTGCCTCATGTTTTCCTTTTGGGAAACCTAAAAAATCTGCCGGAAAATGAGGAAAATTTATGAAAATTTTACTCAGCCTAGGAGTAGCACCAAAAGACTGAGAGAATCTAATCTTTATTTTTCTCATATTCGGGATTTTGGAAAACATTAGGCAAATTTACTCATCGCTGAGTTCCTGCACTTTTTGCAATTTATGAGTTAACTAAACTCAAATTTGGGTCGTTCTCATTGGCCGTGTAGGCGATCGGTTCCAGAAGGTTGATCTAAACCGAGCTGCTTATTGCATAGTTTTATGTACTCACTAACCCACGTGACGACCTCGATCGCATACCAAAACAACACCAACACCTCCACATGTGCTGCTGCGGGTGCGTCGTATGGTGGACCTTAATACTAAATTAGCACCACTATAAAATACGATATAGAAGAAACCGCAAAAGATGTGGAAAAAAATAAATAGACACAATCCCATACGAATGTGGTAACACCTATACAAAGGTGAGCCGTACAGAAACCAGTTGCATTGAAGCAAGTACAAGTGCAAGTAGCTGGAAACGCCGGAAAAGGGAGGAAACCGAGGAAGAAACGATGCAAAACCGCAACAACAACAACAACAACAACAACCTCCTTGCACGCTAGTTAAGTAGACTAATGCCTGCCGCCTGCAGACGGTTGGCTCGAAGAAGGCCTTGCGCTTGGTGGAAAACCACTTTCAATTTCATTGGTCTGCTATGATGATGATGATGACGACGACGACGATGGCTTTGAAAGGGAAAAAAAGTGACTTCAACTAGCAAATACCGCAATAATTATGGATGTCGTCTCAGGAACGGGTTTGTGGCATGTTGTTGCGGGATGTCTGGTTACGAGTGGAGCTACGTGCGATGTGATGTAACAGGAAGAGTTGCATGAGTTGAGTTTGTCTGCATCATGTTCAGTCATCAGGCAACAAATATTAAACCGTTGTAGCGGAGTTCATGTTAAAGGGAAAAGATTCATTCTAGAATAACCTTGCTTTATTATTGAAATAGCTAGCCAAGATCCCTGCATTCTAATATGAATTAAATCAAAACGGAACTTAAAAACTTGGCTCATTACTTGACTAGCCCATTGGTGCATCTATAAGCGTATCCCATTTTCGTACTAGAATCGGAGAGAGTCGAAGTAACTTTTGTCACTAGTGAAGTGAGAAAAGTCACGTCGTAGTGACGTGACTCTCTGTGCAAATCAAATATATCAAAGTGGTGTTGAGTACTTGGCACTGGTGAAATCTGCAAGTAGTAAACGAAATACGCGTATCCGTCAAAAGATAAGCAATTATAACGGAATTAATAGGAAATAAATCAACACCCTCAAAAAGCTCTTCATAAAGGGATTCCGTTAAGAGGTTCGACAAAATTAAAAGATTTAAATATATGTGCCATTTGCCTGTTCCAGATTCGATGTTTCGGATCAGTTTCTCGAAAATCGGACGATCAACAACAGTGGCATTTCGAGCATTATAATTTATGTTCGAAGTTTCAAATTTAAGTGAAAATTCCCCAAATGGAACACAGCCAGCGTCATCTTTTATATCAAATCTCGATGAACATTTCAAATGGTCCTATCTGCTTTGATCGATTCTCTTCATCGGCTTTCTCTTTCGTTAATAACTCAGCTGCAAAACCTTTCCCTGTTGTATTTGACGTTTTGGACGCTAGATAAGAACCTCCTTTATCAAACTATGAGATAGAATTAGCGCGAAATCTGTTTGCATAGCAGTGGTTATGAAAAGAGAAAGTCGATGAAGAGAATCGATCAAAGCAGATAGGACCATTTGAAATGTTCATCGAGAAATGTTTTCTACATCAAACCGTACCGAATCCCATCTGATCTAGTACTGCTCGAAATATAACCCCGGATTAAATAATTTCGTCCAAACAATCAACGGCCAAGTCGACACCAAAGCTTCACTTCAGACTGGGTAGCAAATCAAGCTGAAATTGCATTAGGTCCTAAGTAACGTTGACAGATTCTCTTCGTCGACTTTCTCTTTGTATCCCCATGGCCATACACAGCAAAAAAAGTTGTTGAATATTACATCGAAACTGCTGCAACCAGGTCAATCTATCGGTTGTGTAATATCACATTGTACGATGTTCATCGATTTTGCGAACAAAATTACATCCATTGATGTAATATTGTATCTGCTTTTTGCTATTACATCATTATTTCATACATCAGCTTGAATTACGTTGATCGATTTTACATTTTTTTTTGCTGTGTATAGACATTCCTAGGTATTTTAAGCACACAGATCGATAAAAGAGTCTTTAATCTAGCATCCAATACGACAAAAACAACTTGAAACGGTTATGTGCTCAACTTATTAACGAAAGTGAAAGTCGACGAAGAGAATCGATCAATGTAACATTGGACCTAATGCAATATACAGCTTGAAATGTGCGCCATTCGTGCGGTGAACTGGCCAAGCAGTAAGCAGTCAAAAGTTGAATGTTCTGTCAAAGTCCAGCAACGAGGTTTCCGGACCTGAGTTTTTCCGTTTTTCTTACGTGCCACTTCGGGTCAAAGTTTCCGTGGTTACCGTGTGCGGTTTCGAATTCGCATCATGAAGAGATCTTCAGCGCCGGCTGCATCACAACCGTTTCTGTTCAATCAAACATTCCCGACTGATATTCAGTTCAGTTGCGCCATGAATTCCTCAACCTTCCGAATGAATAATTCGCCTCAACAGCATCAGCATCTTGCCCCATCAGCAATAATTCCTCCGTTCGAGGGCCCATTCCAGGTGATCGAACCGGGAAGCGAACTGTACATCGAGATGGGTCCCGATTTTGACTACTGCGTGGACCCATTCGGTGGGATTGGCATTATGGAACAGCAGGAACTGTTCATTTCGGGGAACGGAATTCCGCAGGACGTGCTGGATGATGTGTTTCGACTGGACGATGAGGCTGAAGCGGCTGGAGGTGCCATCCCCAAACAGTATCCCGTTGCAGACGGGCTTTCGATGAAGCAGTACGAGAATCAGCTGGTAGCTGAAATGGAGGAGCTGTTCCCGGAAGTGAAGTCGACTGTGCAAAGAAGTCGTCTGATGGAGGAACTGGTCAAGAAGAGTCCTCCGGAGAATCCCTGCTACATGAAAGTTCATTTGAAAGGCGAAGGTGCGACAAAGAAGGGACGAAAGGTAGTATTTGTTATGTTAGCTTAGAAAGAGTTTTTGAGCAAGACGATTTTTTGAATTTGTAGATGCCCACAGCACCGCGCGACGCGCGCAGAGGCTTCCGCTGCGTTGAAATGGTCGATGACAGTGGAACCGCTTTCAAAGCCAAGTTCTACGATCACATGCCTAAGCAGCAATTTACACCCATTCCTCCGCACGACATTTCCATCCAACACCGACGAGTAGCCGAACTGCTTCAATCGCCCACGCTGAAGAACGTAAGCCCGGAGATGGCAAGCAAAATCGAAATTCTGGCCAGCGGTAAACGGGACGTAACCCTCGCCAAGGTTCGCCCTTCCGATACCAAGAGCTCAACAACCACCATTGTCATAAAGACCCCGAAGCGAACAATTGCTTCCAGCGGCACCACGGTTGATCCACCGGCAGACTTCCCCTTGCCCATGGCGATGATCAAGCAGGAGCCATCCTTTGATGCCACTCCGATCGAAGTCCCGATCATTATGCCAACGCCGGTCAACAACAAACAACCCCGCAAGCAGAAATTGCACTCGCTATCGCAGTGCGATGTGGTGTTCAATGAAGTCACCAATGCAGCGACCACTGTGGCTGGACCCAGTGACAGTCGTGGTCCACCAGCGCGCAAACCTGTGCCCCGTAGCCGTGGGCTGCCGCCGAATGACTTCGTCACCGTCACAATTACGGGTGAGTACACGCGGACCGTTACGGTTAGTGAAATCATTGAAAGCATCGTTGATAGAAAGTATCAACATCTGTAGGTGATTTAGACTCTTGACTCTTTCTTTTTTACCTCTGTTAGTGACTCTTCTATTAGTTTTATTCAATAGTGACTATCATTTTTTTTCTTTTATCCATTGTAACTATCCATCATTTTCTTTATGCGTGGTAGATTGTAGATTAGTAGAATTTAGTTCTTAAATATAATCCTCTGAGCATTTCCACTGCGGTTTGCAATGTAACAATTGGTAGGTTTCTCTACAAACCAAAATCCGAAGGAAGCAGGTGCCTGTTTCGTGTGGAAGACGGTGTTTGATTTGTTTTCTTTCCATACGTTGCTACATAGTTCGTTTTCGGTTTATTTGTGGTGTGTTCGCTCTGTAAATCAAGAACGAATTGTTTAACCCTTGGTATCACTTAAGCTATTTAATTCAGGGCTGTGCAGAAAAAGTACTGATTCCGAATCCGACTCCGACTGTTATGAAACAATAATTTGGTCTACGTGCACATTTTTTTAGTCATGTTAAGAAAAATATTATAATACAACTCTCGCGTAACATTTGAAAAGGGCCTATCAACGTTTGTAAACAATACTTACTAGGGTCTATACTCACGAACCGAAGTTATTATGCCGCGGATACACTTGTATGACAAACTATTAGCATGAGCCTTATTTGTATAATAAAACTCATGCTCATATATCCCTCCCCTTGGCTAGTTTTTGCACCTTGCTGTTGGTGGGCGGGCTTAATTTCATGCTAGTGGAGTGTTGGAGACGGTAGGTTTATGGTCGGCGTTGCTGGCTCATTCCGCGATAGAATGGCGTCATGGGCAGGCAATTTTGATGACTAAGCTGCCCCTCTCTGATAAACCACTGCATGAGAGAACCAAAGATCTAGTCTAGCAGTGATAGTATCACACTTGTTACTCCTTTAATTGAGAGCCGCGTCGTAGTACGCTTACGTATAGGCACTGACGTTGGGTGTGATACTGGCGGGTTTTGCCGCAAATCACTCTTATTTTATTTGTTTTTACGCAGATAGATTTATTTGGGTTTGCAAGGGAATTATACTATTGAAATATTTCAGAAAGTGCCCAACGGTGCTCCTTCTATTTGCGTGACAAGCTTTCATTGTTGTTTTCATTGAAGTATTACCCAGGAAACAATGTTAAACATCATTTTTGTACATGGTATTGTAACTAATCTTATATGTGCTTCATTATGATTTGGGATAAGTGTTTGAACTATGGCTCGAGTTTTCCACTGTGGTGTGCTTCTATTGTGACATACCCATATGTATTTTTGTGGTGCGACATAGTGGAAACGTGAGAGCGTAATTGGAACATATACCCTATATAATTTAAAAATCAGCTAGGAAACTAACTTCAAAATGAAGCATTTTAGTCACATGAAGGTGTTACCTGGGTCGAACTAAGATATAATAAATAGGTATAGGTCAAAATCAAAAGTACTTGAAACACGTTTAATTTTAGATTACAAGCACAAGTGCAGGTACTTAATAAAGCATGGGTTATGCTTGATTAGGTGAATTAGAGCTTTTAATAATTTATAAAATTAGACTAATGAGATATCATAATCATCAAATGAACTTAACTAAGAAACTTCAGAAAGTCTAATGACATTAAGTAGATTAACAAAAGAATTAGGATGCGGGGGGTCCGTTTAGGGAGGCAACTAACCTTTAAAGTTGTAGAATAAATCTTCTTATTTAGTCTTGAACTTTAAAAAGAAAACGCAGGCAGACCAATAGCATTTAGCAGATTAACAAGGAGAGGAATAGTTTAGGAAATAAGTAAAAGTAGAGGTATGTGACAATTAATAGCTTTTAAACTTTTAGAGGTATTGTATTCCCCTGAGTTTGTTGTACTCGATTACTATATTATTCTCTCAATACGCGAAATCTCTTACATATGCGGTTAAAGCATTTGAGTTAACTTATTTCTTAGTGTTCAAGTACTTACATTTGTAAACAGCAGTCAATGTTAATCTATGAACTAAACCATACGTAAAATCGATCTTTCCTTATGTGGTATTGATGCATGTTTAACTTTTCGCGGCTGGATTTAACGCGCCTACGTCTACGGAGCTTACGCAGAAGTGATACGCAATTCGGTAGAGCTTGTCAAACGCTTTTGAGCTTCTGTAGTATAGAATTTGTACGGTACGGTCGCGAAATCTTTAAAATGATTGATACGTGCGGTAAAATAACTAAATTGAAACAAAGCTCAACAGTAAAATAAGTAGAATATTTAGGGAGGAAACCAAAATAAATCAACTTGCCAACATAGGCTATCACATTTATTTTGGTGGCACTCTTTAAATGATAATAAGCCTTTTTTCTCGCTTCGGTTGTCTCGCACGGCTTTCGGAATTCGCGCGGTTTTCGTAACTTACATAATTTAGATATTTCGTTCGAAACGGATTTACTTATTCAATCGGTTTACTACGCGGATGTATCTACGCGCACACGTCACAGCATTTTTTCTATAACTATCTTGAAACAATACATACGGAATCCAGTGTTCAAGCAGCCAACATAGGCTAGTCCTTCTGCTGTATTGTCAAAGATAGAAGCAAAATTTATTCAAATGGGTCAAGTCTTGAAAATTAAGCTGTCACGCAGCTCCAGCTTGATACCCAAAAAAAAAAAAAAAAAAAAAAATAAAACTCATGCTCATATATGGTCAAACTTGTATAGATTTTGTATATGTAGTGATTCCTACTAACTGGCAACACTGTAATGTATGTACGTCCTGAACTTTGGAGAAGTATAACAAAAAGTTACTTCCTCGCGTACCTACGCATGTATTTTGGCGACAATCAGAGAAACAGAGAAACCCGGGATTAAACTCGCTGAGGTAAGCTCTAACGTAATGGAGCAATGGTTAAATTCGGTACCTAAACGTTAGTTTACGACTCGGAATACTAGTTTTACGTGAGAAATAAACCAAAAATAATATTTGGGGTATTATCTCAAATCGATGCCGTTTTGACAAGGACGGCAGACGAGCTAAAAGCGAGACGGAAAACGCATCCGACACTCGGGATTTTTCGACAAAGGTTTTTTTTTTGGTGTTTGGTAAGAAGAGGAGCTAAAACAAACGTGAAGATAAACAGTGTCTCGCCATAGTTGCTTAAAAGATGATGGAAAACAGCAAATTTACTTTGTTACCTTTTGACACCACTAAGTTAGTAGCACTTTGTCTGTGGTAGCACCATAGAGGTAACTCTAAAGCAAACCCCACACGGTAAGAAATATTGTCAATACTTACAAGTATTGACAATAATATTGATGTATTGACGTCAATATAGAATATATTGACAATACGATTATTGTCAATACAAATAGTCGTGTAGGGTCCACTTAAGACTAAAAGGTCCCGAAATAACGTGCTCAACTTTTTGGCTCAGCTCTGGTACTCTCTTCGGTCCCAAGCTAATCGAATCACCCCTCGAAACATAGGAAAATCCACTAACCCCTCATTTTATCTGTCAAACTTTCATAGCGAATCAAAATAAACATCGTGTAGTACTAGAATTTCGACTAGAATGGGATACGTTAATCGTTTACTTGGGACCAATAGGCTAGTCAAGTAATGAGCCACTTTAAAATCGTTAGTTTCGTATTGATTGTTGGTAGCACTAACACCAACCGGTGGAAACTAACGATTTTAAATTGGCTCACTACTTGACTAGCCTATTGGTCCCAAGTACATCGATTAACGTACCCCATTCTAGTCGAAATTCTAGTATGAAAGTTCGACAGATAATATGAGGGGTTCGTGGATTTTCTTATGTTTCGAGGGGTGCATCGATTAGCTTGGGACCGAAGATAGTACCAGAGCTGAGCCAAAAAGTTAAGCACGTTTCTTCGGGACCTTCTAGTCTGAGAGTTACCTCTATGCTAACACCGCATATTTTTTTTTAGTCAGTCCCTTCAACACTTTTGGGTCATTCGTGACTTGTCCAGGGGTGAGATTTGAACTCGTGATTTTGGCGTGAGAGGTATGGATGTTAACCACTACGCCGCATCGATTGAAACACGCTGGATGAAATGGAAGAGATCTCTGGAGTTGTTCCTACTGTGTTACCTGACTTATAACGTAACGAATATATACGTTGTATATACGAATATATACGTTGTATACGAGTACCATGTCTAATTTTATATTGCAAATGCTATGCAAAATTAGACGAGTCATGCGTTGTATTCGGCGTTAAAAGTCAGGTTACACAGTAGACGTGAATTGTGTTGCTCTCATATCCAGTGGATCACAGATACAGGACATTTTTTTTCGATACACCTGGACACGATGCACTCCCGCCAGCGGACACGGATAAGATTGCTGTATGCTCATTTTGAATTTTTCTCCCAAAGTTTCTTGCGATCGGTACGTGTTCCGGAAAATTAAGCAAACTGAAGATGAATCTGTGGAGAAATTCGTCGTTCGCCTTCGAGAGCAAGGGCGCCTGTGAGAGTACGGGAATGCACTCGATATGCAAGTTACAGAACAGGTGTTTGACAACAGCCTATCGGGCGAGCTGCGCGAAGTGATTATTAAGAAGAAGTTTATTTGTTTATTTGTTTATTTGTTATGGTTGCATCAACAGACTAGAAATAGTCCCAATGATGTGTTGTAAAAAAGTACAGATTATACAGACGCAATACATATACTACAGTTACTACAGTTACAAACGAAAATAACTAGGAAAGTATTGTCAAGTTACTAAAAATTTATAAGTCTTAAATTTTACACTTAGCTGTTGGGCATCAAGCGCCTTCGGTCAGCAAAAAAGGCAGAGAATTTTCGGTTGACCACCAGTCGGTTTAGACTACACCAGTCAGCAAAGATGTCAATCTGATTTTGGAGAGAACGGCAGTCGGCGAGTGAGCGGAAGAAAAACTTTCAGATCGTCTGCAAACGATAATCGTGGCTCTGTGATA